GCCTTTATATGTCTTTAGATGTCTTTTTGGTTTTCGCGTCGTTTGAATGTATATGGAATTTGTAAACATAAAGGCGTGATGAGCAAATGTCGTCTTTTGACAAAGTTTTTGATACTTGCGACTTAATCGGCGTCCACGCAGCAGAGAACGAGCAGACGCACGGATTTCATCTCGTTTCGCTTTCACGTCGTAAATATTCACGATAAAACACTCATTATTTTAAATTAAAATAGCAAATTTTATCAAATTATTTACGAATCGATTTTGCGATAACACAAGGCAGATTAGTTGTCTTTTTTATATCATTTTTCTACATCCACATAATTCGACGATAAATACTTATTCTACATTTTCTTAGACCATGCAACGTCGATCGGAATAGTTTACGTTATAATATCGTAATTACAATATATCGAAACGACAAATGAATTTTGCGAACATGACTCGCACGATTTATATAGCGAGTACTGAAATCGTGTTGTACAAAGCTAGACGTATTATCGCTGATTTACAATATACTTAAACTCTAGAATGAGAAAATGTGTTCTACACGCTTTTGATTTTTCCACTAGCAATAATGCTGTAAAATCCATGCGCATGTGTAACTATTCTTTTCGACGTTACATCGTGTAAGAGTGTTATAAGGACGCAAAAGTATGTAACATTAGTTATGTTTAAGAAGAGTAATCACTTTTCACATTTACATTTTCATTAAGAAATTAACTAAACTAAATAAAAAAAAGAACATAAATAAAAAATGTGCAACTTATGTTTCTTTGATAATAGTAATTTTGAAGAAAATTTTAATGAAGTCACACATAAAGTTAAATTTCGGTAAAAGAGACGCATGCATATTGTAACAAGTATGAGATTTTAAGCTAGCAGATAATAACGAAACGTCATTATTTGAACGAACAATTTTCAGAATAGAAAATTGTTAGTATCTTACTTTCAAACGACTACGCGCGTTATTATTAATCGCGATCGCCTCAATACCACTCGTATTCTGATAAACCGGTACAACTCTGATATTATTCATTTTTTACCTTGAAAAGGACTGTAAAATAGATATCAGCCAAAAATCGAAAAATTATACCATTTCTATATTACGACCTTCTGTGTAAGATTTAGTCACGATATTTTCTCGTGTTTATTGCTTGATTCATTTTAAGGTACAATTTAATAAGTGTGTGACTGCCGACAAGTAATGGGACGTATTGGCAGTCCTATGCTATTTGATATAACATGGATTTCGTTTTCAACGAACGCAACTACCTCTTACTGCTTGTAAATTCGAAGCTTTACTGTGTCTCTGATTTTGTCGCAGAATAAAATCTGTTTCACTTAGTATCGGAAAAGTTCAAGTGTAACTTTAGAATCTTAACGTGTGTAATATACTTATATGCGTTAACATTAATGAGGTTATTTATTTGTTTATACAATGACTGTATCGAGAGATTAGAGAGATATCATTAAATAGTCTTTATCCTTAAATATTAATGAGCACGAGGTGAATAGATGTACATCTTAGAAAGTACAATAGAGATATATATTATAGTAGAGATTCTTGTATTATCTCTCTCTCTATGTATATAATATTTATATATCTGCATCTGTATAACGCTCTTGTAAAACGCAATGCTGCTTTGCATTACGACCGAGCGTAATAAAGTTAGAATTCTTTCATTACGACTCTGAAAACAATGCATTGCCGGACCGGGTGCCTCGTTGGGAGCGCGCAGCGCAACAAAATTATTTTTCCCGAGGGTACCGATCGAAGCATAGGACGAAAAGTGATTGCGTCGCTCGATAAGAGATAAGTGAAAAGGAAGGAAAGAAGGGAGGAGATGCGATGAGAAAGCTTCACAGAAAGAAAGAAAGGCGAACTACAGGATAAGCTCAGCGAAGATTCATCCTCTCGACAAATGGCTGCGCGAGAAACCGCTGTAAGTCACTCTCATCGTACATTGGAAAAAAAATATATAGAAGCATAGATCGTTTACGCTCGTGTTTACTTGATAATTGATTACACAGATCACAATAAAGAATTGTTGTGAAGTAACTCTAATCAGAATAGAATTTATTTCTTATAGATTTTCAATCATAAAAAACAATGCTACCCCCTCCTCCCCCAAATTGCTCTATTATATTATTCGATTATTATTTTAAAGTTATTTTGATTTTTAAGATGAAAAATCATGCAGCGATTCATAGGGAAAAAATGTGTAATAAATCATTAACCGTCAATAAAGTAATAAAAATAGGCAAATGTTTGACGTACATACATACATATTAATTTTTTTTAAGCAAAAGATAAAAAGTTGTCTCACAAAACATATTTGTTACAGATACAGTGAGTAGGAAAGTAGGCACTTTTCTTATGTTTGGCAAGATTAGTAAGAACAAATAGTTTGATTTCAACGTTATGAGTCCCATTCTCTTCGCAATAAAATCGTTTCTTTTCAAAACTAACTCATCATAAAAAGATACGAAGAATTTTTAATAAAATTTCAAGGAAATTGACGAAGAGATCGGGACCCATAACATTGAGATCTGACTATTCCTTCTCACAAATCTTAAAAATCAAAATAACTTTAAATCTTGACATGTAATTTAACCATCGACATTGTTTCTTGTGACCGAAAATCTATAAGAAACGCCTACTATGATTAAAGTTCTTTAATAACAATTATTTTTTGTCGGCCTATGTTATCTCCTTTCGGATCGTCCCGATCGTGCGATAAAAACGTCGGAACTCTGCTGCTGCGTGTATATTCGCGTGGGCGGAGATCGCGATCGCGGCGGTCGCACTCGCGATCCCTTTTGCGGCTCTCTTCTATAGTATTTCATAGTCAATAATACATAATTGTATAATATATCTATGTGTGTATAATTATCGCGATCAATCGATCGATTGATACATAATCGGACGACAGGGCGATAAGGCTCGCACTACGAGCCGTCTCTTTCTCTTCTTCTTCTTTTTCTTCTTCTTCTCCATCGTGTTCGCTTCTCTATTATCGGGCACGTGCGTACACACAGTACAGACATATATGTATATATACATACATATATATACGCACACTCTCGCACGCTCTCACAGGTACGCGGGACGCACGCATTCACAAAAATAAATCTCTAAATACGGCGCATGTGAAGTTTTTTCTTCTTCTTCATCCGTCGGTCGCTCGGCGAAGTGTGAAGCTTTCGCTAAAGCTGAGGGCCAGTCGCTCTGATCGGTAAGGATGCACTTTTTACTTCCCTTAACGAGATTGGAAAGAGGCGGATCTCTTATGCTTATCCGTGTACGATTTACGTTCGTCCTACTGTACCTCCATAACGACAAAGGTCACTAGAAATGATAAAATGACGGCGAGATGAGTAACAGCAATGTAAAGGACAAACCTTTCCGCGATTCAATGGAATAACAGCTCTCTGTCGCCGAGATATAGCGTCGCATAGTAAATCGAAGCGTCGCGACGGGCATATAAAGACTAGTCGCTCCTTTTTTACATTCGCGACACGCATGAATCAAAGCGCATCGAGTCGAGTATTCTTTTCTTCTTCGCAGCACCTTCGACGAGAGAGCAACTCAATCCGTGTTAGTGTGACGGTCACCGTCGCGTCACACAGCCGTTTTCTTCTCTTCCAACTAGCTCAAGCTCTAGATCGGTCTCTAAGCGCGTTAACTAGCAAAAAGCCGCGTGTCGCCAGCGCGCGTTCGCGATTTCGCAGTGACCTTTGCCTAAATCTCGCGGATCTCTAAATCACTAAGTTTTTCGTTGCTAGCGCGCGGTATGGGACGCCACGCGACCATTAGTCTCCTGTGAGTCTTTTCTGTTAAATGGGTCAGTCCGTTTAATGGGTGGGCCGAGAGGCGAGACATTCGGGGTCCATTGAAGGCGGGAGATGCGATACCGCGTGTCCCTCCCGAAGGGACGTGACATCTCTTCGTCCGGATCGGGTATCAGATACCAAGCGGGACGAGGCGATGTGCAAGGACGACGACGGCCACGGCGCACGGCCGAAGAGCGAGACCGTTTCGAGTCTCCGTACGCTGAGATCGGCAGTCCGAGGATGCGTCGATGCCGCGATCTGTATGTACAAGGATTCGCTATGACTCGTGACGTTTTGATCTGTACGCTCTCGCTGTCTGAAAGAGAGAGAGGAAAAGAGAGAAAGGGAGAGGATAACAGAACTTAAACGTCACTCATCGAAGCTCCTGTTCACTCTGCACGCGTGTCACCAAAAATCACGGGTATTACGAACACAGAGAGTATTTTAGAATTTCGCTAAACGTCTCATGACATCTCGAACGGTCGGGTCAACCGAGCTACACAGCCTACCGAGATGCGTCGGCGGCATCGACGCAACGTCCTCTTTTTCGCGGATGGCGTTCGTCGCTCGGGCGCGGCGCGCTTTTTAGTACGACCCGAAAAGGCGTAACAAGCTTCTCGCTAAACCGATCCGTCAATGAAACGGAGCGACTGGACTAGTCTTGTCGACTAGCTTGCGGTATGCGCAAGCGCCATGGGCCCAGTGACCCTGGACCTCTCGAGTACCGGCCCAATTCATAGAAGCCCTTACACACCGATTCGCGCATAAGCGTCCGCGATCGTAGATATTTGTCAGAAACTGCCAAAACGATGTCTTCGGATAACATATTTAAAACATCATCGACATCAGGGGTTAAAACTAAGAGATATCATTAACCACGTTCGGCTGTTAATCATATAATAAATATCCCATTTTTCTCTCTCTAACACCGATATTTGAATCTCTACTGTTTTCAAAATATGATCTATTGTAATCAATTATAATTATAACATATGTAACTATATATTCGTTCATCTAACAATCACATTTCGTGCATTAATATCTCTAGTTCTCAAATGTAGAAAATACTAATGCAATAATATTATTTTCGTTTATAAATATATTATATTACATTAAAACATTCAAAACAACCGGACGAAGATAATATTTCGAGAGCTTCCTCGACAGACTACCAGACTACCAAACGTCGGTAGGCAATTTCTTACGATCGCGTCGCTTCTGTTTGGGATACTAATTGGGCCGGGCACCGATTTGGGTATGCAGATGGCATATTGATATTTGTCTGTATTGGCCCAGGGCCTCACTGAGCTTGTGCACTAGGATCGCACTGCAACAGTCGCACGATAGACGGGTCGCTCTTCGCACCCTCTATAAATTCGTCAAGCGATAGCTTGCCGTCCTTGTTCTTATCCATCTGTCGGAATATCTTATCAGTTCGTTTCTCCGGCGTCGATTCGTCTTCCGGCATTTTCATTACGGAGCCCACCATTTTGTAGATCGCCTGAAATCAATGTTATAATGAAGTTCAATAGAATTTGTAACATACTGCATAAAACAATGGCCCCATTCAGCAGAAATTAACGCTTAATAAGCGCTTTGCGCTTGTTAGATTATATTTTTAGATCTACAGAAATAGTTCTCAGCAAAGAAAACTTTCAGCAGATGTAAAAATTCTGTTGAACGCGGTCAAAATATACTATACGCTAATTAATTGATGTATAAAAAATAATATGTAATATTTTAACAATTATGAAGTAAAAGATGATAAGTATAATTATATTGAAAGTAACAATCCATTTATTAAAGAAATTTTAAGAAACGCATAAACACACCATCTTTCAATTATGAGTATATAATATGTAAATGTAGAGTTAATTTTTCTTCAAAAATTAAATGAAAATTTTCTTAAAACCGTATAATTTAATGAAAAATCTTTCAGTTCAATCGTAATTCATAAGATAATGACATTTCTTAAATCACCTTTTTCATTAAGAGCTATAAAACGTTGATATTATGGATGTGGAGCTTGAGGATATTCTTAAATCAACGAAATACATTTAATAACATGGAAGCAGTGATACAGTCGACTATATATTAAGCTTAGAATGACTTTATTGAGCCGTAAATTATTAAACTATATCTCAGTCCCTCATTCTCGCGAATCCGCGAGTCAAATTTTATGGCTTGGCACGTACCGTCACGATTTCCAGCATTTCTTGTCGCGAGATGTAACCGTTGCCATCCAGATCATACATGCTGAAGGCCCACTTTAACTTCTGCTCCAACTTGCCTCGGGACGTAACGCTGAGAGCGCAGAGAAATTCCCGAAAATCGATCGTGCCATCGCCGTTTGCATCGAACGTCCTGAATACGTGCTCTGCGAACTACGAGAAGTCATATAATAAATTTTTAAAGAGCGTAAATAATTCCGCGCGAGCCAGCACGCGAAATGTTAATAAATTTATCGATTATACCCGGGTGCATCCGCGACTGTAACTCTTTATCCGGGATTTCTCCATTTACCTTTGACGCGTCGCCGTAAGGAAAGAAATTTCCATATATCTTCTTGAACTCCTCCACACTCAGGTGCCCACTGGGACAATCCTTTAAGAATCCTTTGTACCATTCCTGGATCTCCGCATCTTCAAAGGAAAAAACCATAAAATATTACTTGTACCCGGCTACTTTAACGTTACTCACACGTTTCCAGACATAAATCCGCGAGCTAAATATTTATTAATAACGTCGAGTTTGATACATTAGTCAATATTTTAATTATATACCAATCCTTTGACGAGCTGTAAATAAAAATATCTCTTATATGTAAATATCTATCGCATTCTCATTGTAATCTTGAAAGAGCTTAATTTATTTAAGACTCCTAATTTATCTCTTCACTTGAATGTTCTATGTTATTACGTGTGCAACACAGATAATAAATAGCACGTCAGAAGATTATAAGCTGTTAATTATCTATAGAAAGCGACGCACCTGAGAATTCAGTATTCTGTTTGAGATCCTCCAGAACTTCCGGTTTTAACTTGCTGTTTTGCTTCCCCATGGCTGTTTAAAGTCCCTTCCAGAATCCCCCGATTTTCCGACGATTTTCCGAAATCCAATTAGCAGATAATTAAAGCTCTAACTAGTCTACTATTCTAATAGTGCCGTTAAGCACAACACGCTTCGCGGCTGGTATTCTTCACCAGACACGCCTGAAAGAAGAAGAGACGTTCGGTAACTTTCAGGAGACTTTCACGATTAAGTTGGCTTAACGGCAAGGAGCAGAAGCCGATGGATGTTCGATAGGTCATACCGTTTTTTCCGCTCAATCGCTTTGTGGAAACGACTATTACTTCGCCGGGCCGTACTCGAGATCAATCGTCTCGCTGCAATTAGCGTGCAAAACGAACGAATAAAAACGCGCGTCTGGACAAGATACTTTTCTCTCTGAAGAATCGCAAATTCTGTAAACGATTGAATGTCAAAGGCTACATAGATACTAAAATCGACGGCAACGATGACGACGAAGAGTAAAAAAGATTCCACGTAAATCAGGTGCGCATTCCGTTAAAGTCCTTTGATCTTTATTAACGTTCAACCTTTGCGATCGGCACCATTAATATTACAGCCACGCTATAAGAAAAATAAAACGGTTAACGCTCCGCGTTGAAATTATTTAAGAAAAAGATACGGTTCCGGCCACCATCATTTTTCGGATTCAACCAACTTTCTTCACTATTGGAAACGGATGTTTATTGAATTACGAACGTTTTATCTATCGGTTTTACGTATCTAGAAGAAATGCATTTGCAACATGTATAAATAAAGGAAAACACGGGGATGCATCTTGGGGATGCGATGATAAGTGAAGGTTTAAGACAGGACGGGTATCTCACACACACATTCGCAATCATACGCATTCACGCAACTGTAACAGAAGAAAATTCCAAGATTAATAGAGCAATAGTAATAATAATACATTTGGAACGTAGTGTGTGCTTTATTATAATAATATTAGTAATGAGACGATAATATGCGGGCTCTCGCGGTCTCTCGCCGCGTGTAACTCGCATACAAAATACGAGTTTGCTTCGATATATATATATCGAAGTTTTATATATATATATAATATACAATATATAATATATATATTATATATATGTATATCGCTTAAACGGAATTAATTATACCACAATATAATAATTGTAATACGTAAGTACTAGACCTTATGATAAATAATTATTAATTAAATCCTATGTTGTGTGTTTTTGGCGCACGTATATTATGCGTACACGAACGATAAATTCGCTCGGGGGAGCGACATCGTGCAGTGATGCAATCTCGCACGGTCGCTCATTCGTTACGTACAGATAACCGACGACGGCAGGCAGCATCCCTTCGTCATCCCGAACGACGACGTCCCGGGAGAGAGATCCTCCGGGTCTCTCCCTGAGGCGTTCTCAGCGAGTTGCGTTCCGGCGAAACGTGCGGGAGATGGCACACCACGCGCGTTTCCCCGACGAGATGACGCTCGGCAACACACAATGTTCATGTAAATAACAATATTTTGCGTAACATCTGTCGATCTGTCGCGACCCGACGTCGGTTCTTATACGTGCGGACATGTGAATAACGCGTGAAACACGCTGTCGTCTTCGTCGCGAATCGACTGCATGCATGCGAGGACTTTATCGTCGTAAATGAATTGTTCCACCCCGAGATCGCTGCTACTTCGTCAGCAGCTGCACCCGGATCCATCTCGTGAAACTCGAGAAATCAGCCGGTGATGGGCGCGTTGGGTTGTGGTAAAATTATACGATCTCGGGACAGCGATAACGCTCGCGAAATTGTCGCGATTCGTGTCGCTTGTCAACGGAGAAGTAGCACATTTTCAGAGACAAACCGTCGTGTTTTTTATCGTGAAATTTTTTATGGGAGACTGCTTGCCACGTGAAAATTACATCTGTGAGCTCGTCGCTGTAGGTTCGGCAAATAAAATTCTGGTATATTTAACTACCCCTTGATTACGCTGACAGTTAAAAGCCTGTTTCCATGTCGTGCTTGCGACAACAACGCATCTCAGGACTGACGTTTTAACATTTATATTCCCGTCGGTTCTGTCCCATGTACTCTGAACTTATTAAAATACAAAATTACAATTACAAAGATTTAACATATTCTTCTGACCAATCCGCCAGATTTTATAAAATAAACTACAGTGTTAGTTTTTATGTCCTCTTTTCTTTAACTATAATACATCGGTAAACTATAATGTATCGCATCAAAATAATTACGTTGATTTAATAGCGATATAATATACATTATTAACCCTTTCGGAGTCGATCTTCGTCCGGAAACAATGATGTTTTACATTAAATAATTATTTCGTCTAAATAGACAAATTGAAGTTATTTTTAAAAAAAGGATTAGTCATAAAAGAAATATTTAATAAAAAAAGAACAAGTTCGGAAAACTAATTCTAATCTAGGATAATTATAAAAATAATTTGAAAAAGAGAGATTACAAATTTATATTACCAATATACTGCTATGAATTGCGCAATGAGAAGCACGCACGCAATATCGCGAACGAATACAAAGCCAAAAGGGTCAATATATAGAGACGTCGTGTTGAATACTAAGAGATTATGACATCGTTGCGATCTAAAAAAAGAAGCGTGTGAATGCGATTTAAGCGAATCGAATCACGTATTCTTGAAAGTCGTTGATTGTAAATCCCGCAGAATGCGCGTAATACACTCGATACACCAAAGTACATAATACGCTAATTACGAGATATTTACGGCACACGCTACGGAAATCTCGCGTAATCAGTGGATGCGCTAATTACGCATTCGCTTTAATCAAATCAACTGATATATTTAGCCGTTCGAAACGACCTGCTTACGCATCGCTTCGTTACAAAGAGGAAGAAAGACTCTCGTTGCGACTCTGTCTGAAGCTCGAATAAGCCCACACAGCACCTTTCATTGCAAATATATATTAAATACGTATCTATGTTGCATTTACATTGCGTTTTCTTTCATATCAAATATAATGTATTAAATACGTAATTAATGCAATGGATGTGAAATATCCAAATTGAAATACGTATGTAATACGTAGCAGGTATATACTATACATATTTAAATACATGGATATATATCAAACACAATAGTTGATACATATTTAACAGAATGTAATAATACGTCACAAGATGGCGTAGTAGCACTATATAACATTAAAAAAATCATAAACGGACAGTTTTGAGCAAGTTTTTGTGTGCGTAGTTATTATCTGAATCTAAGAATAAACAAAAGCAATATTGAAGTATCATATATTAGACCGCGATGTGAATAAAGGCTTATTTCGGTCAAGTTTGGATTTTTAGTGCTGATCGAAATAATTTCGTGTAAAACCAATTTAAGTTAAATAGTAAAAAATAATTTAAATTAAACAACAAGTCGAAAGTAAGTTCCTATTTTGTAACATATTGAATGTAATTGCTGTACAATTAATGTATATCCGATTTTTTTATAAGTTATATAACACACATAGTACATTTTGAACGCGTATTTGCAATATTAGAGATATGTATCAAATACATAATTTACGTATTTAATACGTATCGAATTTAATACGTATCGAATATATATTATATATTATCATATGTATTTGGTATGTAATGTAAATGTCTATATAAGTGTCTATAGAGCGGACATTCATCGGTATTTAATGTATCTGGTACATACGTATTGCTACGTATCTGCTATATAACAACATTTCAAATTTCATGTATCTGCTACGTATCTGAAATCTAAAGTATTGTGCGGGAGCATATTCGGATCGGCGAACGTAATAGCGTAATAGCATAGTATAGATCGGAATCAGGTAAAAGTTTTAACGATGTAGATAATGATAAAAGTATTGCAGTTCCCTTTTTCTTCATGATCAACGTGCACCATACCTGGCGAAGATTTAATTTTAGATATAACTTTCGGAGCTGTGATATCGCTTGTATCCTCATTTTCTAAAATGTCATTTTTTTAAAAAGATATTTCTCTTCAAAAGATATTCTTTTGCAACTAAATTTTTTAAAATCTCGTTATGGCACCAAAAACAAATATCCCTCTTCTGATTTTTCAAATCAATCGTCGCGCGATCCGAAAATACTCAAATAGAAATCATAAAATGTGTATTATAACTAACTTTATATCGTTAAATATTTAATAAATTAAAATTCTCTATTATATTACATATCAAAGGAGCAATAGTAATTCATGCTTTTGAGTTAAATAATATTTTTTATTTTTTACTTTCATAAGTGTCAAAATGTAAATCAATTAATTTCTGTTTTTTAGTTTCAAACTAAACAATATTCATATTAACGTATGCATTTAGAAAATAATCAACTAAATTTAAGTCAAGTTTAATACATTTTTTAAGTTAAATTGTTTAACTCTATTGTTTTAAAATTAATTAAATTAAAATTAATTGAGTAGGAACAGTGGCGACTTATATATGGAAATGGTTAAAAATAATTCAAATTGAATATAATTTGACACTATGAATTTAACAGTGAACTATTCGTAGTTTTCACGATTTGTTGTAGATCGAAAATGTGAAACAAGTGCCAGGAATATTTATTATATTTTCCACGGTCGCAATACTTCTTACAATGGTTTTAATCGAGCAATATTAATGCTACTGCATTGTAATGACTATGTTTGAAATATACATTTTATCGATTTTTCCTGTTGCACCTTACATCATGTCTCATTTTCATTCTACCGCTAGTGATAGAAGGAAATTGCAGGACATTATTGGAACAACATATATTTAACTCCAAAGCTAATAGCTTCTTTCTTGTAAAGTGTCTCGCGACTTTTTGCGCAGCAAATTAAAAATTCATGCTATTTAACAAAACGCACATCATTTTCATAATCATGAAAAACATGGTACGTACTATTTACGGATAAATGCCATGCCATTTTCTTCCCTCTCGTTGCGTATTATCTAATAAGGTAAATGCGCGCCTGTTCTTTTATCTCGGCGATGAATGCCACGAGTCATAAGCTCGTTATGGCCTTCGGGCAAAATTGATACCCCCTGAAAGATTTATATCTGTTGTCTCATGTTCTGATCGGTAACGACCTTCTCCGGAAAAGTGATTTTACTTGAAATGTGGGACGACCGTATGCAAAATGCCGCGC